TGCTATCAGCTGCCCACTTTTCTTCCAGACCACGGGTGGCTGATACGACTCCGTAGGGCGTGGATATACCCTGGGTATTTGAGATGTGTGTTTGTGTTTGCCAGAGATGAATCGAGTGGCGAGGTGTGGCGTCTACGATGAGATGTCGCAGGCCGTTGCCAAAGTGTGAGTGTGAAGTCATCTCCTGTAATCTAGAGAATGCTTCTTGAGTCCATTGTAAAGTGTGTTGGTAGAAGAAGCGGTCTTTGAATACATGTGAGGTTTGTTCGCTGAGAGATGAGCTGGTGAGACGGAGGGAACAACTGGTTGGGAGGTCAAGATAGGAGGTTATGTGCTCGATCAGTTCGGTGGGAAGATGTGGTAATGCCATGGATTGGGGTACTGCTTGTTGTAATAGGTCTGGTACTGATAGTGAAGCAATCAACGAACGTTCGTGTAGTATGTGGAGGCAAATAGGCGGGGATCCCGATGCACGTTGACGATGCACTAACCATGTTGGGTCTCGTACATGCATCGATTGGGTATGCACAATGTACTATAGGAAATGCTACTGAACTTCAGGCCAGTACTGTCAGATGCCTTTGGTATTGAAAACTCGGAAGAGAGGCTAACTTCCGAGCACATTTGGTATGTACATGTGCAGCAGCATAAGCAGCACAATGTCATGTCAGCTTCGCGCCTGTCTCCCACAATAATCGAAAAGACAACATTGATGGTACTATCTTCGTTCGTTTCCATCATCCACATCTTCACCTAATCGCTGTCTCCATCGCTATCGCTGTCGCTGTCACTGTCGCTGTTGCTGCTCTCTGACGAGCTTCCGGAGCTAGTTGTGCTCTTCGCAGGAAGTTCGTTGTCAGATCCTGACTCTGAGTCGCTGCTAGCTTCAGAGTCAGAGCTATCATCATCGCTACTGTCCGAGCTGCTCTCATCACTAGAGACTTCTGTCCTACGCTTTCTCTTTCGCGCGATCGGTTTCGCTGGCTCAACATGCTCCACCAGCGGATTGATGCTTGACTTCGGATTCACGGCAGGTGACACAGGCGCAGCGCGACCCAAAGCGTTAAGGAGCGCTTCCGCTCGTCGCCTTTGTAGTCGTCGAACAAAGCCAGGGCTGTACTCATGGTTCGCGAGGTCTGTCATGTCGCCCTCTGTCTTCCTCCGTTTCCGCTCCTTAAGAATCCGCTCATGCTCTGCGTCCTCCTGAGCAACCTTCTTAGCATCAGCTTCGTTCATCTGAGCGTCTTGCTCCTCAAGATCTTTGACTGTTGCTCTGCAGCGTTCACGTAAGCGATCGATTACACCAGCTCCCTTTAGACCAGCGACATATTCAACTAAGGCGTCAGTGTGTTCGTTAGGAATGCGGAAGATGTTCAAGGCGTTGTCAACAACGTCGTTCTGTTTCGCTTTGTTGAACTTCCAGTTGTCGCGATCGTTGTAGTACTGTGTAAGGTAGGCAATATATACGGAAGGATCCTTCTTTTTGCCCTTTGGCGCTGGCGCTGGCGCTGGCGCTGGCGTTGAAGTTGTGCTTGCTTCGACAGGCTTGTGTGAAGGCTTTGGTGTTGGTTTCTCTTCAGATGTAGTGTCTGCTGTTTTCGGTTTAGGGGCTTCTTCTGCTTCTGCTTCTGCTTCTGTCGTCGCCTGCTTCTTGTCCAATTGTCCGTTCCTTCTAGCAGTCTTCTCTTCCTCAGCGATCAGCGAGTGTAGAACAAAGTTAGAGACTTCTGGTGGCTGAGAGACGGCTCCAGTTCCTTTCTGCTCAGCAACCCAGGCTTTAAAATAGTCCTGACCAGTATTGCCGTCAGACTTTTTGGTGTCCGGAGTAAAGGCGACAGACTTTCTTCGGTCCGTTAATGGGGGTGAACCTGAAGCGTCTTTTCGATTGGATTTCTTGGTAGGCTTCTGCGGTGTCAGGGTTGCGGTGGTGTCGGTGTGATCCAGCTCTGTGGAAGCAAGTAAAGTTGGGTGCGCTGTCGCGTACGCCGGCTCATCTGGTGAGGTAGCGGATCCGTGCTTTGGACGCGCCTGAGGTTGAGAATCACCATCCTGAGAATCATGTTTCTCTCTCCGGCGTTTGACTGGCTTCTCTTTCTTCTTTCGATAATTCGAATCTCCTTTGATTGGCTTGCCTGATGCTGGTGCTTCCTCCATGACAGCATCTCCCTCAGCACCTTGAAGGATTGGAACAACGGGAAGGCTGTGGCTGACGGCTCCGTTCACCTCGCTCTCGGCAGCATGGTTCCGGCTCTTCTTAGCATCCTGTTGATGGTCGTCGGCTGGCTCATGTTGGTGTTTCCGCTTGCCAAGCTTTGAGGATTTGCCATTTACGGCAGGCTCATCGGATGGAACAGATGGCTCATGAGACGTCTCATGCGCACTATAGGCTGTAGATGGTTGTGGGTCGGCAGAAGATGTTTGTTGTTCAGGTACGGCGACTCCGGACGAGGTTTGGTTCTTCAGGGCGAGACCTAGTCGCTTCCAAGCGGGAACTCTGGCGCCGTCTTGAGCCATGATCAGATGGGGAATATGGATATCTGTAACATTAGATGCAGAGGTTAAATCGCATCGCGCATGACCGAATCAGCTGAAGTACAACGTCTTGCCAGTATGGAAAGGTCGAATGAGAGGTCGCAGGCAGAGAATTTCGGGGCTGATGCTAGGAAGGCACAGACCAAGTGACGGCGATCCCAGAGCTCCAGGCCACAAGCAACGCGTGTAGTGACAGCCAACGCCGACAACCTCGCCTTCGACCCAGAGACCGCACCCGCCCGCAGAGCTTACGCAGATTACCGCAACCTCGTGCTGAAGCTGAAGACGTCCATTACAAATACCCAACCCCACGACCTGCCATCATGTCTGGTGCGTTGGAAGCTATAACCTGGTGTTTGCCGCATTCATGCTAACAGCTGCCCTCGTCATACAGGAAGCGCAGGCTACGACCGACACATTACCATCTTCTCGGACCAAGGTCGTCTATACCAAGTCGGTACGCACACTCTCGCACACACATACACACATAGCCCCGCGGCTTCACCCATCGAGCACCACTGACACATGCACCAGAGTATGCGTTCAAAGCGATTACGGCAGCAAACATCACATCACTGGGCGTGCGGGGCAAGGACTGTGCAGTAGTCATCTCGCAGAAGAAGGTGCCCGTACGTATGGCAGGTGCCGAGGGCTGCACATGGTACTGACACTTGCACACAGGACAAGCTCATCGACCCGTCCTCCGTGTCCCACATCTTCCGCCTGTCACCCTCAGTTGGCTGTGTCATGACCGGATCCATCGCCGACGCGAGAGCTTCAGTGAGCAGAGCGCGGGGTGAGGCTGCCGAGTTCCGCTACAAGTACGGCTACGAGATGCCCTGCGACGTGCTGGCCAAGAGGATAGCCAACATCAGCCAGGTCTACACACAGCGCGTAAGTCATGACATGGAAGCAAGGTGCGAGTGAATGCTAAGCAAGTGCAGGCTTATATGCGGCCGCTCGGTGTGGCCACGACCCTCATCTCCCTCGACTCGGAATTTGGCCCCCAACTGTACAAGTGCGATCCAGCTGGCTACTACGTAGGATACAAGGCAACAGCCTCTGGCCCAAAGACGCAAGAGGCGCTCAACTTCCTCGAGAAGAAGCTGAAGAACAAGGAGCACGCTGAGGGTAACTGGGAGGAGGTTGTCGAGCTGGCAATCACCGCATTGAGCACTGTCCTGTCGGTCGATTTCAAGAAGAACGAATTGGAGATTGGTATCGTAGGAGGACCCAAGACCAATGGACAGGAGGGCACAGACCCAACCTTCAGGGCGCTGACCGAGGAAGAAATCGATGAGCGACTGCAGTCAATCGCAGACAAGGACTAAGGAGCCACGGCCGTGGGGCTGCAAGGAGGATGTGGGTCGCTGGAGTATGACCGAGACGTGAACCATGACGATAACAACAGGTAGCATGATACGACCTCTCAGACGTCAAAAGTGCTCCAGCAGCACCATGAATGAAGACGTTAGACTGTACTCTCCTGCATAAGCGCAACTGTGAACGAAGCAGCCGAAACGGGGACCAGAAGATGTCGTAAGTTCAGCCATGACTCAACTTGCCCATGACACCAGATTTCCATACCACCTCAGCTGCAACGGTCTGCAACAACTCAGGAACTGTCCCATCGACGTCATACTACTGGCTCCTAGTCGTCGGAGTGCCCAGCACAGCCGTCGCGTGGCTGATCGTGGCTTTCGCGAGCGTTGTTCGTTTGAACGCACAGGTTCAACCCTACGCGGGCACGCACTTTTCACGTTCACACTCAGCGGACGACCACGCGAAGGCCGCACCGCTAATTATAAGCATCAGCCAATCAGAGCGAGTACTGCGGCTGAGATACACGCCTTGGCTTGGCTGCCTTACCCGATGCAGGCTACCAGGGCTTGCTCGCTAAACTACATTGCGCGATGTGGCGCTTCTAGGGCTGCTGAAAAGGTCCAGCACAACGCTGTCCATTCCAGCTGGAGAGCAATGGTAGCGGAGGGTCGAAAATAGGCATGGTTAGACGCAGACGCACGGTTCCTGCATGTTTGGCTATCCCGTTGTAGTGGAGACTGATACAGATGGTCATGTTACTATGCCGATTCTCACACCTCTCCACAAGCCTCCAAGTGCGGGATGCCAGTTTGTGAGTGGTGTATCGAGGTAGGGCCCTAGTACAGCTGGGAGCTACTCGCGGTCCCAAAGTGGAGCTCGTCCTTATGGTAGCGGCGGGAGCAGCCCTGCAGGTATGGCTATTCCTACCCTACGCTATCGAGAGCCTTGCTCATGGACACTACCACCATCATCATCGTGAATACATGTCTTCTACATGCTATATAATACTTGCCACGCCGCCACCCTTCACCATCCATCCACAGCAGCAAGCCTCAGTTTCTTTCCATCATCTACAAGTTACTTCTTATTAGCCACTTCAACAATCTGTCGCTAGCCGATCTTCATTTCGAAACACCAGAGCCATAATGTCTGACGGTCGTAAGTTCCATCCTGCTCCCGCACGAGATTCTCATCTTTTCAACATCACCAAACCATACTACCATCAAGACTGCGCAGACTGACACCATCACAGTCAACGATGCCCGTGCCATGCGCGTTGCCGAGATCATGACCGACTTCCGCAACCTACAACACTACCTCGTTCAGTTACGCGCCACACCCACTGCGGAAGAGTATTACCTTGAAGGTTACTCCCTGCTCAGACAGTGCACCAGCGAGGCACAGACTATCCTCCAGACACCTTTCTCTGGCAGTGCCAGCTCGGGTTCAGGGGACCCCGAGTCCGAGAAGCAGCAATTGAGGGCGTGAGTCACTCCTTTCTATACCATGTCAAGTTGAGAGAGTGTAGAGAGAGGTTTTGCACTGTGTGGAAGAAGAGCTGACAGAGTTCTGCAGTATCATCACAGACGCGGCTGTACGACGCTTTCAATGCCAACGCGCTTACTTACGAGCTCACGCTGGCCTCCGGTGGATGAACAGCCGCAACAGCATCCTACGAGGCCAGAAGCCCAATGCGAGCCATTTGGGTGCGCTTCAGCAGGCTGATGCTACGATGAGGAATGTACGTTAGATGAGCCTTGCGAGTCTTGACAGGATCCCCACTGACAGTCGATTCATAGGAACTACTCGCAATCAGCGATGCCTACGTAGAAAACACGCTGCGTGCTGCGGATGCCGCACAAGGCAAGTGGTTGAACGAGGATCCTTCGCTGGCGCAGATTCAACAGATACTCATGTCCCGACGATGAGCATCCAGACATCGACGACACTACTCGATCGTGAAACGGGCCCGACTGTACGGTACGATCGTTTTACTGGAACGCTTCACGACTACCTCAATCTCTCCATACCGCGGTGAACCCAGTCACCTCTACGTCGTTTTCCATACATTTCTCGTCGGACAGCCCTCCTGTGGCAGGTTATGCTTGCGCGTTCTTCTTGTATGTCCGGGTTACTCGATCACTCCTCCATTTCCAGTGCTGGTCACATTGTTCGGAAAGCACACACTTGTTTCTTTGGGGTAGCCTGGGACGATAGCCTGCTTTAGCGTTGGCGTTGGCGTCTGGAGTTTTTGGTGCATGGAACAAGTTCCTCTCTTCTGGGAAGTCCAAGCGACTGGTCAGCAAGTCAACAGGTATGCGAAGAATGGCATAGCAAAAGCATGGGAATCTTCGGGGATATATGACCGATGGGTCTTTATTGGAGTCTTTCTTTTGTTCTTACCCATTTGCTATCAGTTGCTGCTTTTAGGCTGCATTCCATGTCCTAGTCTCTCTCGAGTTCTTCTATTCTATTCGCCTCTTTGCTTCTTTTCATGTCAATATTATAATTTCTATTGGTAGCCCAGCACGTTTGACACCACCTCATAAAGACACACACCCATACTAACCAACCCCTCACCAAGAGTCAGAAGCCGAAGCAAGGGCGACTTGGGTAACTCGAACCAACTGTCTTTAGCGTTACGCACTAACCTTCAGCTTGACAGGCACCTGCGAGTCGAGCTCGTACCATCGAATCCCATACAGCGGAGCCGACCGGTCATGCACGTGGACGACATGCAACGGAGCTTCTACCAAACGGCTGGTCGTAGGGCAGATGCTTAGCGTATGACGTCTGCTACATTACGTCGTAGTAGTAGGGCTGAGCAGTAACGATGACTGTGTGCCAATGCGCTTCACAACGATGCAACCCTCTCAAGCCAAAATGCAACAACGCTGTAGTTGCTACTAGAAACTCCTCATCGATCGCACAAAGCTACCATCATCAGAGACGCCATGCACGATCATGCACCGCCCAGCATCATATCCACCGTTCCAAGCTCCATGCATTCGGCATCGCCTTATCAAACAAGGATTCCGGATATACTGTTCGCTTACGTCGTCTTCCCGCACGCCAGAGCTTGAACAAGACTAGGGGATCGTCGGGGTTCCCGAAGACAGTGGGCTTAGCGTGTCAAGCCACGCTTCGCTACCGAGTGGACGAATATCATGTGCGATAGGTGTTGCGACGCCGATGCACGATGCTAAGCTGCCTATTACTAGAAGGCGGGGTCGATATTCAGAAGAGGGGCACTTGAAGGTGTCGGCGTAGGCGCGGCAAACGACGTGAACCGGCATATCAGGTGCGAAGACGTCCACTTGTTTGGGTATGTATGGGATTTTGAAGTCGATATTGCCGCGTCACCTCCATCTTGCGCTTTTGTCGTGACAAGTTCCTCGTGATTGAGCAGAATCATTTTGGGATTTCTTGCTACCCTTGGCTTCTAATGTTCGCTGTTTGTCATGCTTACTTCGCTCCTCTAAATCACAGCATGACCAGAATGCTGCGTCCCCAGCTTGTGCTTGGCAACGCTCATTCACACTACGTAGAGCAATCTTCCGTGGGAACGATTCATTGACTCTCACGATCCAAGAAGCGCTAATTTTGAGCGAGAGGATACAGATTGTGATATAAGCTGTTGTGGTAGTCTGAACTTCGACGACCCATAGTAAACGCTAAGTAAGCATTTTACCGAACGCGCACCAATTGATCGAAAATCTCCAGCACAACACAAACAAGTACAATATTCGCAATGTCTTCAGAAAAGAGCCACCGCCGTAAGTAAGAACGGCTGCAATGATGTCGTGCACATAGTAACAATGTGTGCAGTATACGTCAAAGCCCGCCATGTCAGCTACCAGCGCGGCAAACGCAACACGAACCCCAACGTGAGCCTCCTCACGCTTGAAGGTGTCGACAACACGCAAGACGCGCAGTGGTACCTCGGCAAGCGCGTCGCGTACGTCTACCGCGTTGCAGGTAGCAAAGAGGATGGTCCTCGCGTGATCTGGGGCAAGATCCGCAGGACACATGGTTTGTACATCTTGTCATGCCAAAGTCACAAATGTTGAGTCAAGAACAGGCAATTCGGGTGTCGTCCGCGCTTCTTTCGCGAACAACCTCCCGCCAAAGTCGTTTGGTGCTAGCCTAAGGGTTATGATGTATCCCAGCTCAGTTTAAGAGTCGATGGATGGACCGGAATAGCATTGGGACGGCGTTGAGGTGATTCGGAACGGCTAAAAGCCATAATGGAGATTGCATTCTACATTTTATATATTATACCCAGCACAATGCAAAAACATTTCAGATTATGGAAGAGTGTGGATGTGGTTGTGTGTATGAGAGCACAACCTTTATGTGAAACGCTGCAAAATCGTCTGCGTTATTATTGCCTTGATGCTCTTCCCGTACTTCTGATGTCCAAAAAATAACTACTCACGATCTACGAGAATGTGCAAAAAAGTTGGTTGGTGCGACACCTGTGTGATTCGAACACACGCTCCCGAAGGAACTGGCTGACTTTCCTGTGAAGGACTAGCAGGCCAGCGCGTTAACCACTCCGCCAAAGTGCCAAGACTTACAGCTGTTGAGCCGCTTGATGACAAATCGAAGAATTTGTAGCTTATTATCCGGCATAACGATGTTGTGGTGCCGTGATCCTGCGTGGGTGCGAGATGCGAGAAAGTGGGTATGTGGGGTATGTGGATGTCTGGCAGCAACGCTACAACTCCGGCACGCGACTCAAATTCAGAATGCGACAACTTCCTCCTGGCGCCCATGTCGTACGTGCGATAAGTTACACTGTGAGAGACGAGGTGAAAAATTGGTTACTGCTCTCTCAGTGCCGCTGGGATAGACTAGGCCTTAGTGCGTTAGGACCATTGCAAAAAACCAAGGTTGTAGGTTTTCGGCGAGACACCAACGAAAAGATCAACCAGACAATTTTCAGATTTTTGCAATGTCGCAAGCGGTCAGACCGGGTTTCCTCGACGTAGTCACTCTCAAATCACTCTGAGTAGTGTTATGCGTAGGGACCGCATCCAGGAGTAGCCTCGTGCAATCATGAGCCAGGGCCAGATCTTGAGATCTGTACTGGCGTAGGCGATCTCAGCTAGACATACCTATGCGCTGTTTCAGGTCGTGATGTGACGGATGCTGCGTTGTTTTGTGACGACACTTCACCAGCCTCTGGCTCGCTTACATGCAGACCAATCACACGCCCCTCGTCCCTGCGTCCTGGAAGCGGCTCACGCTCCGCCTCATCACTACAACTCAACAGTTCAACAACACCTGGTTTGTCCTTGTTTTCTTTCATTGCGGTGTGTACGTGAAGAGTCAGATGTGCGACGTGGCACCAATCCGTTCCTCCAGCTTCCTTTCGCCAAGATAGTCGTTGCATACATGACGGACCGGGTGCCCAAGTGCTGGGCAACACTCTTAGTTCACATTTCCGCTCACCAAACTCCCTCATCCTGGTCGTCTGGCGAGGCAAGAAGACAAGACGCGGATAATCAACCGCCAAGATCAATACAACAAGACTGAAATCACATCAGAAATAGCCCCCAGACCGCCTCCCTGTAAGAAGATATCGCTATACCCCCATACGCCCAGAGCGATAGCCTTCAGACCTCGTCTATCCTGCAAAATGGCTGTTTTACCCCAAAGAAAGTTCAACTTTAGACGGATACACACTCATTTGTGGACGCATTGGCAAATACGATGAACAAAAAGACCCTTTTGTGTTGGGACTAGAATACATTTTGCTGCGCTCCTCCAACAGTAAAGTGGTGGCTAGTGTGTTATCCATTCTGACAAGACCGAAGACGCCAAACCGAAATACCGAGACTTCATATAAATCCGTATACCATAAACTCGTCGACTCGTTTCCGCCCTGGGAAGACATGCACGCTAAAAAAAATACTTGACGAAAAGAGATTGAACGTATAATACGTGGAACTATGGGTATAGGGCGAATGCTCTTCGAACTCCTAGACCGGGAACTGAAGCGAAATCCACAGCTGTGTTCTCTGCCGCGGTCATGTACTCCGTCGTATCCGTTGATTTATTGGGATAGGTGCGTTTACGAAGACATTAGACTCGTCGGCGATGCGAGACTGTTTCTCTTCGTATTCTAAAGAAGACAACTTTAGGTCGTCGATTTGTGCCTGCTGAGTTAGCCTCCAAGCATAGTGTCATAGTAGAGTCAAGCTACCTTGGTCAATGGTGGTCCAATAGTGGTTATCAGAAACCCGTCGCGTCCCTGGAAGGTGTATGGTCGAACGATTGCATCCGGGCCGCAATGGTAGCGTATTTCGCTCTGGATAACAGCTCTCGAGATGCCGAAGCCTGGAACAAAGTACGAGTTGGGAACAGCCATGATGTTTATGTTGGAGCAATCACGTCGACAGGGTATCTGTTAGGTGGATTATGTGTTCGTGCGCTGGGAGATGATCGTAAGGTTGGGCACGCAGAAAACTTATACATCTGACCGACAGCCTTGCGACTGGCTAATCGGTTGCATACATTCTGTCTACACCGGTTCCAGTCCGGATGAGGATGCGATGCATCGGCTGCGATTAAGTCCCTCCGTTGGGCGTGGACGCGCACTGACGTTCGCCTCATTGTTCGCCTCAGAAGCCCAATCACCGCCATTGGGCAGCGACGAAGGCCGGGTCACACAACACCCTTCAAGGTTGACCATTCATAATATTTCCGCTGCATTGTTTGGTATATCTGCTACTCTTGGAAGGACTATGGCCGTTTCGATATGCTTCACATCTCGGCGCTAATATCTGAAGCGGCCAACACAGCTGCCACGTCTACAGAGTGGTGTTCTGTCAGGACGACTACGGATGTTTAAAGACGATCTCTTTGCCACCATACTCTCTGGCGAGTTCTGTAATGGGTCATTTCCTCTACACCCTTCCGCAGAGATCCAAGTCAGCCGGCTGATATTGTTCCTTCAAGTGCAACGGACTTCACACGAGAGACACCCTGGCGGAGACCCCCAATGCCGATCCATACCCCGGCTGAGCTTCCACGATAGGTGACACCCAGTCACCCCACGGTAATCGCACTGCATGAAAAAAAGTATCTCGGTGTCTAAAGTTGGGTCAAAGTAGCTTCACCGCTAGATCCGTTAAGCGAAGGATGCGATCGCGTCAGGGAGATCCCTCCAGGCACGCGACGCACTGGGTATGAATGCATCAAGCTACGAGCATGTCCCAAGTTCCATATATTCCAAGATCCGAGCCGAGACCCCACAGAACTCACCCTATGTATCTTAGTTGACGCAACGACGGTACCCGAGCAATTGGGCTTCTTCTATCGCAGACGGACTAAGCGCCAGCACGATGTGGCGAGTATACTATAACTAACTGTGAGGCAAGCCTGGTCTACCCCGCTTGTCATCAATGACCTACTTTGGTGCTACTGGAAGGGCGGATAGATTACGGCATGTACCATCAATGGTGAGAGGGACGTGGTCGACAATGCCCTTCGTTATCGCCTCGAATGTGAAGCTGTCCTGTCTGAGGTGTTCATGGGCTTTGTTCACTTCGGCATAGATCATCTCTCACACCCAACAAACCTAAGTCGAGCGCGAATCATTCCTCGAAAACATGGGATCGTCTTCTGAGCTCCATCGTAACGGCGGTCTCGGCTCTGAAACCGCCGCATGAGTCGTGTACACGTGTGCGACTACACGAACATGTGCCCAATGCCCAACATCCAAGCGTCCAGGTTCGATTACAACAATAAGCATCGCATTCTTATAGCAAGCCTAGCTACACTACAACAAACTATGCACCGGACTACCCCGCAGATTGTATCATGCAGTCCCCCCCATACGCCAGCTCACCTTGCATCCGTCGTCAAGAGAACGCCATCACAATACCTTATCCTACGTCATGTCCTTCGATGAATGAGACAAAACGATGCAGTGTGGGCTGTGATTTGGGAAGGAGAACCTGGTTTCCGGCCTCTCTGCGGGCACACAAGGTACCCTTGCGACCACGAATGCGTAATCACGCCATAGTTGAGTCGGTGCCCCCATTTCACCGACCTCATTGGAAGAAAGCGGAAGATGGCGCAGCCCGAGGTACTCCGCACCTAATACAATATTGGAAAGCGTCTACCTACCATAACTATTCAGAAGCGCACAGGGGACTTTCAAGCGGCCTGCGAGTGCTGCAACTAGTGTCAAGGGAAAGCACAGTCAGGTACGGAAGATCGTTGTAGGACTCTACATGCAAGGTACGGCGACCACTTTCAGCCAGGAACTACGTTTGTATCCAGGTGTTAGTTTCCTCAGACTCAACGACTCGTCATAGACTTTGAAAGCACAATTCTGAGAAGCCGTCTTGCTATCTCTTGGTCATAATGCGATTGGCCTCGAGCAGCTGTGTGGCAGTCGGTACGAAGAGCTTGCTCACCGGATATCGACAAGGCTCAATCTCTTTGTGGTTGTTGGAGATGATACCCTTGGCAACATCATCTATCTCCCTGTAGCCAGCTAGCCACTGTACAAGCATGTGCTGGCTGAAGTCCATGACTCTCACCGGAGCGCTACTAGATCGGCTGATGGTCCTTCGAAAGGAGCACTCCTATCGGCTGCCCGCGCACTGGAGACGGAGGGCCATTAGCCATCGCCATCTGCGACCTTCCTGACACCAATTTTCAGATCAACATACAAAGTACAATCCAGTGAAGTCGGAAATGCAATATGCATGGGACAACACACTGTCAAAGCAACACTCAACCTAGTCTAATGATGTGCAATCATCCTCTGTTCGACTTGTTAGAGACAGCCACCAGTACACAAGTCAGCAAGACTGCAGGTGGAACTTTTGGCATCACTTGTGCCACCGTCTTGAATGTGCTGTCATCTAGACCTTCTTTGAGCAAGGGAATCCTTTCAAACGAGAACTGTTTCAGGACAGTCACTCACGTCAGCTTCATTCATACCTCCACACCGCTGCCCTAATTCGGAGACCGAGATCCCACAGCCGCAAAGGCCTACGCATGACATACGCTTCATCCTGGGAGTGAATACGACTGGTCTATCGTTGACTAACAAAGGGCTGCTAAGTCCACAAGACTTAGGGGGCTTGGTAGTAGACACGGGGTTCATCCGTTCGTGTCGATAGGGAGACAACAAGACGGCAATACCGTTCGCGTCCGCCTCATCGAGCTACACAGGTTTAGTTCGCGACCCCCGAAAAGAACATCATTTATGGATCCAGTAACGGTATGTTGAGCGTGAACCGTTGATCTCGTGTGCCACGTCAACTACTCTGGTTGATGCGCGGTTACCTTTGCTAATCCCCGATGTAATGCATACGGCACATCGTTCGCGACTCTGCCTAGGATCCACTGCCTAGCCAATGGTCTCCAGAATCTTCTGTGAGCAGTTCTTCACAACGAGCGCTATCTGAAAAGTGAGGCTTTACAATTTCCGAAAATGTATTCATGTTTGCCGATCCGATTACGCCCAGGGCACGAATCGCTTCAACACGCGGCTACGCTCCCGAGCCGAACAACGTGTCTCTGTAGAGACGACAAAATTGAATAAATGTGTGTAATTGATTGTTCTCGAAGCAGGGCGACCAATAGCTGTCGCGGTGAATAGTCAAGCATTCTGAGTGTCGATCTTTAGAGATTGGCGAACCGACCCACTTCACTTTGCTTGTTGCGGCGTCGGACATGTGAGCCTCACAAAAACCTCGGCAAGCTCCTTAGACATCACGATGTGGAGCTGACCCGACCTCTTTCCAATTTTCAAAGGTGGCATTTCTATACTCGAACAAGAAACATGCAAAGATGGAGACACTCTGTCTTGGATGTTGTACTGACATTCTCTAGATGAGATAGTACTACGCTTGACATGTCAACCTTCTCCGCACCGTTTTTCCAAGCTTACTTGGTCTTCATGGGTCCATGAGGGGTACGGATGATAACGTTCCCTTTCCCGGTTCCCATGGGACGTAAAGGTATTGTACTATGAGATCGTACATTGCATCACTTCTAACGATCAATAAACTGCACGATACTGAAACAGCCTTCTTCGCATCCGATCTGAGCACAAAAGACTCGTACTGACTTGGACTCGATAAGCCTCTTCATCGATGAAGACAACCTCGTTGTCCCAACGTCCTCAAAACGAGCCATGTTATAAATCGCAATTAGTCGCCACAGCAGTTTGCAATCTCGCAAACACGGCGAAAATACGCCGTTCATCGAATGGTCCAAAGGGCCACCGATTATTCCCAGCATACACGGGGGAAGCGTGTAGTTTATACAACTATCTAGAAGATGCAAGGCGGTCGAAGCGATACGAACGATGTGTCCACACCAGATTGGCTATGCTTCAACCAAGACAAAACAGCAGGCTGAGTAGCTGTAGGGCTCTTATCGGACCTCTGGGTTCTCTCGAAGCAGCAGCTGGCACAGCGATGAATGCTGTGGATCTTGACGAAGCGGACATCTGCCCTGTGCTGGTAGCTAGTCTCCTCCCCGCCTCACCATCACTTTTGCCTTATTGTCGGCAGACTTATTTTCGGCAACGATATTGGTACCATCGATCTCATCCTTAAGATCCTCTTCGGCCTTGCGCTTGTCGACTACCATGGGTTCATCGTGACCCTCAAGTAGCCCTTCCGTTGTCAACATCCTGTCGGTTTCGGATAGGCTTGCAACATTCTTAGCATAGGGGGCCTTCAGGGTCATGTTTGGTTTTTCCTAAAGTATACACGAGATTGTCGTTCATTTCTCTTAAGTCTGAGTTGTTGCTGCTATACATGTCCATCTCTTCCTCTTCTTCCTCAACAAAGTTTGGACCAGGAAAGGTGTTATCATCAGCCAGGACAATTTGGCCACCTTGTTTCTGTCGACAACTTCCATGGCGAATTCGGTGCCCTCCAGAACCCTGCCCTCATTGTCCAACTCACAGAGCATATCCTATGCGGCCTCAGGAAACCTCGCCTGCATTAAGCTGTAATGAGGCACCACGTTGCCATATCCTGGACACGACTGTCTTGTAGATGTCGGTCCTGAAAGACATTTCGCGCAGCCTGTGCAGCATGTCGTGTTGGACGATATGTTGGTGCTTGCGCGCGCCGGTAAATTAGAGTCAAAGGGCGTGATCCAGGTAGACGTAGCTTACCATGTACGGCAGATTGAAGAATATCGGCCTCATTGTCTTGACGTATAATGTGATGTTGGTGCGTTATGATGGCACCAGACCGGCATCTCTATCGTATGTTCTGACTTGAGTACTAGATCGTGACACAGGAACACTTTGGTTGCCTAGCCCAAACAACTGTTTAGAACGATGTGGGATCCCAGGACATGCAAAATGATGTCATGGAAACATTCAAGGTACCCTGGTGCTTCAGACTTTTTCTTTTCATCACCTGCTTTTTAGCCTCGATGTCAAGATGTTGGACTGACATCACCATCGAACGCATGCTTAAATCGAAAACGCATACGAGTTTCTCAATCACTATTAAGACTATTTCAAAACACGCTACCGTTAAAAACAAGCGAGCAACGCAATTACCAAACTCAAATGCGCGCCTAGTCCGACCACAAGGGCCGTGAGGGGTATACAGCAATCGTGAATCATCCATTTTTTGTGCCCCTGGAGAACGCCAACAAGAAAATGCATCTTCCATCCCATCAGTGGTTCTAACACCGAAGAAAACAACGCATAGTTATGCAAACACAAGAGAACGCAATACAGTGATGAAGGTTGCCCGTAGGCGAGGAGTCTGACTCCAGCCAATCGTATTGGATTCATAGAAAGGATAAGAAGCGCCGTGACAATGCAATAAGAACGATATTTTTAAGGGGAGGTAGGGCTCGGCTCCTCCTCATCTGATTCGTAGGTGATGATAGGAGTTTGCCATTCGACGGTGAGCTTTTGTTGGTACTCTTGACTGTTAATGAGCTCGTCGAAAGCGGCTTGGCATTCATCGTCAAGTTCAATCATCTCCGCTACAGGCATGTCGTCCAGTATGTTGGCCATGGTAGCCGCAGAAGCAGCCATCTGTGCGGGAGTGGCGGCAAGAAGCGACTCATTACCAGCTTCAGAAAGAACGCTTGGTGAAGGGTAGGTCGCCTCTCGGAGACGAGAAGGCTTAGCAGGTGTGTGCTTCATGAGTCTCTGGCGCTGGCGCTCAATCTCATCTCCTGGCTGCTGACGGGTTGGGGTGGGAGGCGCATCGTCTGTAGACCCTCCTGGTAGTGGGGCGTGCGCAGGAACGGGGGCTGGTGGTGGTGGTTGGGTCCAGACTGGAGTAGCCTCGGTATCAGATGTCTCGCTGCCCATTGTTGAATCTTCTTCATCAGAGTCATCAGGAACGCTGAATGAACCCATGTTAGGGTTATGAGTGTGGGCGCCTTCAGTAGTCTCCTTGGTCGCAACTTTGAGAATCTCGCGGTCTTTCTCACGGATCTCTGCCGCGGTATCGTGTCCTTGCAATTCGCTGAAGATGTTACCGCCGGTGTTGTGTGACATGGAGTTGGAGAACATGGGTGAGGGGTCGATTGAACGACGGGGGTGGAAGTCGCGGATGGAGGCAGACTGGCCATGGCTATCAAAGAGATTAGGCGAAGCACGCGCGCTGTTGCTGGCGGCGAACTGCTCGTCAATAGTGGGAACTTCGTCATCCGTAATAGTGACATCGTGAGTCTTCTTGTGCTTTTTGGCGGCATGCTCTTCTTCCTCGGCTACAATGTCCATGTAGACGGCCCAGACTGGTACTTCATCTTCATCGTCCAGATCGCCAAGGGGGTCGCCAAAGCCAGTCTCCCAAGGCTTGGCTGAAGGGAAGTTTGACAGGTCCTTGCATAGGACTGGTGTCTCGAGACGCTTACGCTTCTCGCGGAAAGCGGGATCGTTCCTCAATGTGGGGATGATTTGCTTGGCCCACTCTTCTGCTTTCTGTTTGTCCTCACGGTCGATGCCTCTAAGTAGAAGATTCATCAACGGGTTGGTGGGCATACGCCTCTTTCTTGGTGTCTTGACGCGCTCGCCAACGGGTGTGGGTGGGAGTGATAGGGTCTCAGTAATTGTGTCCTGAGGTGGTAGAGGTTTTGTGACGGTGGGTGAAGCGACCTCGGGGGTTGGGGGTGGTTTGGGGGTCGAGGAGAAGAGTTTGGATTTTAAGGCGGAGAATGACCTGCTGAAGATATTGGATGGTGTCGCGACGGGGCGATCAGGAGTTGCTGAGACCTCCCGAAAGGTTCTCTTAACCGACTGTTGTGGTGAAGGTTCCATAGCAACGTCATTGTCTTCAAATGTTTCACTGTCGTTGCTTGGTGGCTCGATACGTCGGGTCTCCTTGGCGTTGCTCTCGATCTTGTGGAGGAGTGCCAGAGCTTCCTCATTGCCGTTTACAAACACACCCTGTGCTGGAGATGACTCGCTGATTCCTACTAGTTCACTGTCGAATTCTGCGTAGTTAACGTTAGCCGGGGATCCGTAGCTATGACGTGAGAGGTTTCCCAAACTTGTATGCAGATGCGTATTTTCCATGCGCAGACGAAGGTTCTCGCTCTCATACTCGGCCATCTGCTGATCTTTCTGATGCAACATCTCGGCAAGATTCTGGTTGCGAGCCTCAAGGTCTGTCACACGCGCGCGGAGGTGGTAAATCTCCCTGAGCTGCTCCGCGTTCTCCTCTTTGAGAATCTCATTGTCGATTGCGTGTTCTGGGGGTGGGTTGCTGTAGAGAAAACGGTGCTTACTTTTGGTGAAGCAGAGGCCCACGCCATCTTCGTTATCGGCAGCAGCCTCGTCTTCGCTGCTCTCAACAGTCGTAGCCGCCAGCTTGGCAGCAACTGCTTTTCGCTTCTGACTGGTGGCCTTCTGCCGGGCTGTACCGCGAGCCTGCTTCGCAGGTTTTGTCTGTTCTAGACTGCGCTGTGGTGAGGCCTCTACGCCTGCTGCTTTCAATTCTGCGCGAGCGGCTCTGGTGAGCTTCTTGGCCACGACGGGAGCTTTTGCCGTGGTGGTGGTTGTGGATGATGTGGTTGTTGTGGCAGTGACTTGGGGCGCGGCATTTGCGCGTGACGTAGCGCGACTCTTTGTGACTGTCTGCTGCGACTCCGTCACGGTCTGCGACTCGACCTTGGCAGCCTTGGGCTTGCGGCCCGGCTTCTTCTTGGGTGCCGTCTCTGGAGCAGGCGATGCCGACTGTGAGCTTTGCCTTGATGCGGACTGCGAGGACTCGGTAACTGCGGCGGCGGCGGTGCGACGCGTAGTGCGCCGTGTAGTGGTAGACATTGTGCCTGGATGGGGTCAGCAAGAGCGATGCGCAGCAGCAGCGGGGACGTACGGGGCAGTTGCGATGCAATTGCCAGGAAGCAGTAGATGATCTGATGCCAGATGCGACTGCGTGGGGGAGTTGGGATGGTTGTGGTATTGGGGTGTGTGTTGGCAGAGGAAGTTGCAATGGAGTTAAGAAAGTTGTCACTGCACCTCCGGCCATTGGGGCTAGCGCGTCACCCCGGCTCGAATCAGGCGCGACACGGGCCATGCCTTGGCATGACGACCAAGCTGGAGCTCTTTGCCTGCGACAGTCGACAGCAGCCAGCATCAGCATCATGGAGGGCCTTTACTACAACGTCAAATACGGGTACGAGACACGCCGCTGACCTGTTCCTGTCCACGTCTAACCAGTTGCCGCAGCTACATCGAGGGCATCGTGCGCGGTTACCGCAATGCACTGCTCACCAGCCAGAACTACAGCAACTTGACCCAGTGCGAAACCATCGACGGTACATCACATCCAGTCGCCGCTGCCCTGGCACCCTCTCTAACTATGATGTAGATGTCAAGCTGCAGCTCTCGCCCGCGTACGGCGACTTCCTCAACTCATTGCCCCCGAACCCGTCGACGTCTGCCCTCGCCGCAAAGACCACCGACAAGCTCGTGGCCGAGTTCCGCTATCTCCAGGCCAACGCTACCGGCTCGCTCTCCAAGTTCATGGAATACCTCACGTACGGCTACATGATCGACAACGTCGCGCTGCTGATTACCGGCACGCTGCACGAGAGGGATACCCGAGAGCTGCTCGAGAGGTGTCACCCACTCGGCTGGTTCGAGACCATGCCGGTGCTGTGCGTGGCGACCAACATCGAGGAACTGTACAACTCGGTTCTGATCGAGACACCGCTCGCACCCTACTTCAAGGGCTCGCTCAGCCACCAGGATCTCGATGAACTCAACATTGAGATTATCCGCAACACCCTGTACAAGAACTACCTCGAGGACTTCCACCAGTGGATCAACTCTTGCTCTGACATCGCCGGAACACCCACTTCAGACGTCATGTCCGAGGTCTTGGAGTTCGAGGCCGACCGCAGGAGCATCAACATCTCCCTGAACTCGTTCGGCACCGAGCTTTCCAAGGCAGACAGGAAGAAGTTGTACCCAGCTTTTGGCAAGCTGTACCCAGAAGGTACTTTGATGCTATCGAGAGCAGATGATGTCGAGGGTGTGCGTATTGCCGTTGAGAGCGTCGCCGACTACAAGATGTTCTTCGACCAGACCGGTCTCAGTGGAGGTGGCGGTGGCGGCGTAGGCAACATGGCTGGTGGTGTTGGTGGTGAGACGAGGAGTTTAGAGGACCTCTTTTACCAGAAGGAGATGGAGATCTCCAAGCTCGCATTCACCCACCAATTCACCCACGCCATTGTCTACGCATGGGTAAAGCTGCGCGAGCAGGTATGTTGCCAAATCTCACCATGAAGAGAACATGTCGACTAACATGATCTACAGGAAATCCGTAACATCACATGGATAGCCGAGTGCATTGCGCAGAACCAGAAGGAGCGCATTGGTAACTACATCAGCGTCTTCTAGGTGTACGCATTATTGTAGTAATAGCATGTTTGGGTCCAAGTAAGGAATATCTTGGCTGGCGTTAGGGTACGGTTCGTATATCCAACTTTGTTAGATTGCATATCTTCTCACATGTGTCTTCTGTCTTCGTCGCTGTTCCCGTTCTGTGCCAGATGTTAGGAGACCTGTTCTGTACTTTCACCGCCTCAAGTATCGTCTTGCCCTCGTCATTGTCACCAGCTAACATACAGCAATTCATCACCGTGTCCCAATCTTGATAGCAACCCAGACATCTGTGTGATATGGAGTACTCGTAGATTCGTTTTAGTCAGACCTACAGCATCCAAGTCTGATATCTTGATCAACAATTCAGCTTACAATCGCTCTTATGTCATAGTGGTCGTATAATAATTGTCATTGGTCATACTTGGAATCAATAATCGACTCCAACGAGACTCCCGCAAAACAGATATCAGCATGTCATAGTCTGTACGACACATGTGAAGAGTAGAAGAAACATGTGAATGCTCCAAGCCCTAGCCCTAAGAGAGCACGTGAGGTCATCAAGAGCGTCGAAGCAGGAACCATATGTATGGATTCGAAAAAAGGTCCTTTCGATAGCCTATAAAACATGGTATATTTCTTAAAGCATTAGATCAAGTATATCAATACGAATCATCAGTTGGCAAGCAAAGGGGCAACCAACTCAGCTACCGATGGGGCGGGTGTTACAAAGAACGATGATCATGAGAATAGTCAAGAGACTAGAAACGATCATGAGTAGGTCAACGACGGAGAGGGCGAGGGTGAGGAGGCTGACAATCGCTGCAAAGAGCGGCTCACGCCTTCACTGATCAGTGCAGCATGTTCATCGTAGGCTCAGGACGATCAGCACATTATCCAGACAGAAGCCACCCTCGCTGACGACGATGTCAACACATTAGCCGTGATCCGAGACTATCTTAAGAGGTTTCAACCAAGCATAGTTTTAGTAGGTCGTACTAGCCCTTCGCAGCCATCCTCTTCCTAACCCAAGTGCTCATATGCCGAATGAGGCTGGGACCGACATCTAAACGTATTCGTGGTCAAAGTTTAGATGCAGCTGTCGTAAAGGAGGCCTAAGGGTCAGTTTCGTGCAGGAGGAGAAATTGCAGAATGCAGTGATCCTCAGAAAAAGTAAACTGGCATGGAACCTTGTGGGGACGTAAGAAGAAAGTATGTAGCCTTGCGTCTAAGGTAATCTGATCGACGTCTTCGCTTCAACGCTAGCATGTTTGAGGCAAGTCAGCTCGTGTTGGGGTAAATAGTGTTCGAGGGTCTACTAAAGTTGGTGTGGACCCTAGTTGTGGAAAAGGAAAACAATGGCGAGTGTGCATGTGCGTCATGGCGCTAAGGTGTGACAAAGCTCACGACGGTGTATGCACTTCGCTCATCCTTATTCATACTGCTGCGTTGCGCGTACACCGCTTTCAGGCAAGACCGTAGTGATGGAGTTCGTCCTAGTATTCCTAGACTCGCTCTTAGGTTGCCTGAAATGCATGTTTCTTGCTGACCACTGACTTGGATGAACAACAGCTCTAACTCCACATTTAGAAGCTTCCTAAGGGGTCTTATCAGCGAGGTTAACACGACGAGCAACTCTCGTCATCCTCCGTCATTTGGCGGATACATTATCTCCGAAGAAAAGAAGTGCTTAGGTGCGAGGGAGGGTGGTATGGTACTGCCGAACCGAAGTATGAAGCCCCTAAGAACTACCGCTTTGCAAAACGAATGCCAAACGGCCAGCTAAGGGTTGTTTTCAAGGGATGGTACCCGCCATCGTGTCTCCAGCGTGCAGAAGTTGGCAGTGTTGCGAAAGCCACGCGTGTTCAGGTCACCAAGTTTATTTTCATATCACCAAGTTTATTTTCATGTCTGTCAAACTTCGTGAGGACATGGCTCATTCTTGTGGGCCTTACTACTCAAATTTGTACGCTTACTCATGCCTCAGTATCTTCTCGTCTCTACTTTAACTGTAGTTTCAGTCTTGGAAACATAAACTCCACGATCTCTAGAGGTCACACACTTGTCTCTATATCGCGAGCTTCATTTTCAGGTACCGAGGCGCAGGTCATGTTTGCTTGTCTGAACAACAACGTGAAAAAAAGGTCAAAATAGACCCTGAGCTGAAGAGAACTCGGGGTTAGCGAGCATTCGCTACGTGTATACATGTGCTCCATGCGAGTCACACACAGTTCATCTGAAAGTCATACCACCGGAATCGAAAACATCCACCATCATTCGCTAACTGCAGCGCACAGTACCATGCGTTCTAGAGGAAAAAAGAAGACAGACACCGCAAGAGCCTCCTCCAAGCCTAGAACGAAATTTTACAGTTTTACCCTGAATTAAACGTCGTACCATGGATGTGCCGAAAAGAAAAGAACAACAGCCGATGGCTTGCAACGGGGACGCAAGAGGGCAGTGCGAGGTAAGTCGTTCGCAGCGAATGTTTCAACACACGAAACAACAGTAAGTCCAGCCTCACGGTCTTCACCGTTTTTTATTCCGATCTCGAACCCTGAATATGCTAACCTGAAGATCGGGCGAGTATGAATGCAAGGCGAACTCAACCTCTCCCCACAGCGACGATAGCAAGTATACTTGTGAAACAGATGGCCGCATCAATGACCCTGGACCCTAGCTACTGCTACTATACTCAGGGCTTCGCCATAGAGTTCAGTTTCAATACCTGTTACCACTAGTAGTCCCATGCCTCAGCCGACAATCACCGACCCTCAGCACCTTGCCTTCCCGTCTCTATCTTCATCCCTTCCGCTGAAACCACCCCGCGACCACTCCGCACGTGCAGTCCAACCTAGTCTCGCCATGCATTCCCGGTCCATTTTCCCTCGCTTACGGCCCAAGCTCTCCTCCCACCACCTACTATTCTTCCTCGTCTCGTACGTAACCCACCTTGACCACGAAGCTACTTGGCCCGAGCCTGTCTATGTATGGGACCCGGTCCAGAAAGATTACCAGAGCGCATACCGAGTATCCGAGACTATACAGGAGTGGTAAAATAGACGAGGGAAAGCGAACCATGGTGCGGAATGGGCAATATGTCAGGTAACCGAGTGTATGATTTGAGGATGTGCACAGAATTAACTACACCGGTGAAAATGAGATACGGGACTACCTAGGTGTGATGTTCAATGAGCTACTTTTCTTTGTTGTACTACAGAATCGACTTATCCTGCTCAATCAGCAGGCAGGCGCACGAAGATAGTCGAAGCGGTGTTGAATTCATGTTCCAAACGGATAGTATGAACTCAAATTAGCGCGCACCTACTCCCGCTGTTGCGAACCTACCTAGATACCAAACCTGACTATTACGGCAGAACTTTGGCAGTAAATGCGCGATGTGCAGTCCGCCGAAGAAGAACTGAAGAAGGGACAGAAGAAGGTGAGCGAAAAGATCAAGCGTGGTCTTTGCGAATTTTCGTGGACGCAAGCTGAATAGTGTCGCAGGATTCCGAAGTTGGTCGACGTGGCGTGACCATGGTCTCCCGGCTAAATGTCATATTGGCCTACTTCATGGTTGTGATCCCAAGAGTCACTCCACTCAACACCATGGTAACGCCACCTCACATATGGCTCACACATCTCCCCATGGGGATACAAGTAATCCTGATAAAATGTTTTCCACGTTTTCAGACTTGACATATAAATTTACCTTGTCATGCATCTAATCTCATCTGGTCTTCAATCTGCTAACAAGAAGTCAATACAAACTCGTTGCTCTACACAATACCGTACCAATCTTTCAAGTTCAGCACAGACACGATGCAGTACCACTTCCACATTCCACATCCGCACTTACGCATACCACATGCACATCTGCATATTAGACAACACTTGGATAGGTGGCTAGCTGATGTCGCCGAAGTGTACGGCCGTGCTGCTTGAACAACCAGAGCAGCAGCGAAACCGAGGTAATGCGCAAGGCAGGTAGGTAATAAGTAAAACTCTCATGTAGCTGCGACACGTACTAATTTCTCGCGATAGAAGTGAGACGGGAGATGTAAGGTTGTGTGTTGTTAATGAAGCGAGGACTGGCGTATGGAGTTCAGTTCTTGGGATAACCTGGCTAAACTGGGTAGTTTGAATCTATATCCATGTTGACAAGATTTGATATTTGCGAATGTAAAGACCGGCTCTAGATTCACCCGACCTTGCTTTCTTGTCAGCTCATCTCGCGATTTCAAACAGCGCACAAGGCACCGATTTTAACAGGAAACATGAAGATGTTGGGATCGAACGCATAGCATCTAGGCCCAACTCACCTTGTGCGCTCAAATGGAATTACTCGACAGAGAAGAAAAAAGGTCCGATGAGAGCGCAGCGGCAGAATCCAGACTGCCGAAGGAAAGTGGAAGAAAAACAACCGTCCACCGAATACTCACCGAGTCGCGAATGGCGGTGGTGGTAGCATGCGCCACAGCTCCCATTATACTTTTTGTTCCTAAGACCCAGGCTTCGATCCGTAGATCCACCGAGCCTCATCATCGGGCAGAAGGCATGCAGTGGGAGAAGAGCCGAAACATATGTACAGTCGCACAAATCTCCACTCTACTCCTCTAAGGGGGCCCAAACTCTTTCTCTTTACAGACGGGTACGACGTCACACATAGATTTGCGCTACCGGTGGATCTGGCCGGCGACCAGGCAGGCGGGTCAAGAGGCAGGGCGGCTATTCTCATCACGATATCTGTGTATTGGACTGGGGGTGGAATCCTGCATCCCACTATAATCCGCTCCTGATCTGTCGTCGGCGATCTAGAAGTCCGCGGAGTTGGATGATCCGGACTGGGGTATCGAGTCAGTTGAGATGGGAAATCGCGATCGTGAACATGGACATTTGTGAAGATTTGCATCATGGGTATAACTGTTGTACGAGGATTAGGTCGCCGGCTTGCTGGATATGTACCGGGGTTAAAAGGGTGAAAGCGTCATTGGACAGAAAACGGGACTGGGGTTCAT